AAAATTTAGCTATAAGGAAAAATAATGAAAAGCACAGAACAGAACTGAAAATAAAAAGAAAAGAAGCATATTAAAGCTCAACCTCAGCAATTACTTCTAGTGCCCAAGCTATTATAAAGGAGTGGTATTGTTGAGGTTGTATAAAGTGCATTTTTCTTTTATTTCATAGGCTTTTCCCCTAAGCAGAAATAGTAAATAAAACTATATTTCAGAGCAAAGCATTTTTTTCTGGTCTTACTTCCTCTTTAGTTGAATTTTACAGCAAGCCTGTTTTGCATAAAGGTTTTAAAAGTTATGTAAGATTAAAAACTTATGGTAATTATTATTATATGGTTTTATATATATAAAAATATGTGTATGTATGTGTATGTATGTGTGTGTGTGTGTATATATATATATATATATATATATATATGTGTGTGTGTGTGTGTGTATATATATACACACACACATACACATACATACACACACACATATACACATTTTACATATATACATAATATATATAATATACCACATACAACACACACACACACACACACACACTAAAAATCTTCAAATTGATTCACAGTATGGAACTGGTAAAAACTTAATAGTTTCAAGTCCTAACCAAGGACCTAAGAGCTGTTAAGGTAGTCGTTGTCGTCTTTGTCTCCTCCTCTTCCTCCTCCTCCTCCGTTTTCTTCTCCTCCTCCTCCTCCGTTTTCTTCTTTGCTCTACCAGCATAAGAATAGCATAAAGTGGCACTAAAAAGAAATGATGCCTATTTTGATTTCTTCCAAGCCTTTCCTTTGCAGCCAGCATTAATCAGTGCAATTTCTTAGCGCTGCCAGCTCTAGCTTCACATTAGTCTTATGTGGGCGGTGCTAAGAAGAAATTGTAGTGATTTATGCTGGCTGGAGCGGAAAGGCTTTGAGGGAATCAAAATAAGCACAATTTCTTAGCTCCCCCAGCGCTAGTTTTATGCTAGTCTTACGCTGGTGGAACAAAGTAGAAATCCCACCTCTTTTGCTTCCATGGCAATCCTATCCTCCCCAGCTAGGGTAAATCACTGCCAATTTACACTGGGTGTGGAGGAAAGGCTTGCAAAGAAACCAAAATAGGTGCAATTTCTTAGCGCCACCAGTGTNATTTCTTAATTAGTTGCATAACAATATCATTCATACTACTCAGGGTGAAATTCAGCAGGTTCTGACAGGTTCTGGAGAACCGGTAGCAGAAATTTTGAGTAGTTCAGAGAACTGGCAAATCCCACCTCTGGCTGGCCCCAGAGTGAGGAAGGAATGGAGATTTTGCAGTATCCTTCCCCTGGAGTGGGGTGGGAATGGAGATTTGTTTCCTTCCTCTGGAGTGGGGTAGCAATGGAGACTTTGCAATATCCTTCACCCAGGAGTGAGGTGGGAATGGAGATTTTGCAGTATCCTTCCCCTGCCATGCCCACCAAGCCACACCAGACCACCAAGCCATGCCCACAGAACCGGTAGTAAAAAAAATTGCATTTCACCACTGATATTACTATTCCTTTTAACCTACTAATACTACTCTTTTCCCCCTTCTTCTTCTTTTATCCATTTTCTCTTGGGCTCTCAAGAATTACACTTTTGATCATTTTTCTTCTTCTCCCCCTGATAGAAAGATGGTTTTTATGGAAGGACTTCCTTGATGTCATTTTGTATCATTTTATTTCAGATCTCTAATTATACTGGACTGGCTAGGATAGAGGTGGACTTGGTGACGCATACAGATCCTCCACAAGTGCATGCTCATAGCCTTGTGGGAAAACAGTGTAATGAAGCCGGCAACTGCATTATGATGGTGGGCCCAAAGGACATGACTGCCCAGTATGTATGACTTACTGATCAAGGAATGATGGTGGGGTTCAAAAGGCAAGATCTATTTCACGATAGCATTTCCCCCCGCCCCCCCCCATGTGCTAGATTGGGTGGGTTGCAGTATCTTATTTAATGAAAGTGGCAGCCAAGGAAAATTCAGCACAAATATATACCCAGTGTTTCGCTCCATAAGATGCACCTAGGTTTAGAGTGTCAGGGTTCCAATGGAAACCCTAATTAATCCATGAGCCTTTAGCCAAGTTTCAAAGGAAATCCAGTGATTTAACAGGAGCAATATGTCAATAGTTCCTGAGTGGAGTTAGCTCTGCCCCAAGTGATTTACAGCCCAACCATGACCCTGTTTTCCCCCTCCTCCCAGGGGTATCATAAATCACATTCTCCGTTTCTGCGGGCTGTAGATACCCTGCCTCTCCAGCTGGCTCTGGTTACCAGGGATACAATCTGGAGAAAGGTGTGCATGGAATGTGCTTCTGGTCATGGCAGCTCCCCCCTCCTCCCTGTGGCAACTTGAGAGCAGGCTAGGAGTGCTTTGCGAGTTGACATAGAGGAGGAAAACAAGGGCGGGGAGGGGGGGGGGAATCATGTAGAGCCTGAAAGGACCACAGATAGAGGTCCTCTCATGTGCCAGCTCTGCCTATTGACGCCTGCACTGCGGATAAGGGACAGGCTATGACAAAGACAGAAGAGGCAGGGTTCAGCACTATAAAAGGACCCCGCGGCCCGGTCTGTGATGCAATATTCGCTCCATAAGATGCACAGACATTTCCACCCCCTTAAATGTGGTATCACCTGCATGGGTTTTAAAAAGATGGGCATGGAGCATTGGGCTTTACTCCCCCCCCCCATTGGTTCTTTTTGGTTGCTGCTATATGATGTACATATTTCCATCAGTAATGATAGAAAAAAACGCTACATTTTAAATGTTTGGTGATTTGCCTTCTTGTTTTTAACATGCCCATCTCAGTACCGGTGTCTAGAATTTGAGCAGATTTGCTGCCCACGTAGACATTGTGATTGTCACTGCAAATAGTGGATAATTTGTCTTTTATCAGATTTAATAACCTAGGTGTGCTCCATGTGACTAAGAAAAACATGATGGAGGTCATCAGAGACAAACTTCAGACGCAGAAGATGCGAAACCGAATACAGCCTCTAACAGGTAACTTTGAAACAGAAAATAAAAGCTTGGGGAAGATGGCTTCTAGATATGATCACAGTCTTCTTTCTCTTCATAGCTTAGATAGAATGGATTATTGTATTGTAGGCAATAATGGTTAAACTGAGACGATGCATTTATTTATTTTTCACTTGTTAGCCGTCCTCTGTTGGATCTTGCATAGAGTAAGGACGTTGATCATAAAACATTTTTCCTGTCAGGTATTCTACACAGGTTTGTTTCCCCCCCCTCTCCCTCCCTCCCTCCCTTCCTCTCCTTCTCCCTCTCTCCCCTTCTTCCCCCTTCTCCCTCTGCCCCATTTTTCCTCTCTCTCTCTCTCTCTCACACACACACACACACAGAAGCACAACACATTTTTGTGTGTATGTGTGTGTTTGTGAGAGAGAAGCACAACACATTTGTCTGTGAGAGAGAAGCACAATGTGTGTGTGTGAGAGAGAGAGAAGCACAACCCATGTGTGTGTGAGAGAGAAGCACAACACATTTGTCTGAGAGAGAAGCACAACACATTCGTATGTCAGAGAGAAGCACAACGTGTGTGTGTGTGAAAGAGAAGCACAACACATTTGTATGTGTGTGAGAGGAAGAGAAGCACAACACATTGTGTGTTTGTGAGAGAGAGAGAAAGAGAGAGAGAGGGAGAGGGGGAGAGAGAGATCTATAGGGTGATCTGATCATTATGATTTTTACCAAGAAAAATGCCTGGGCTTGTTCAAAGTAAAACTCGTTGTTCCTTGGGTAGAAATGAGATATATCAACTGCTTTACCAATATGAGTAATACATACATTTGAGAGAAGGTTAATTAACTCAAGTTGCTACTTCCAAATTGTTCTGAACTGCTTTCATGTGGGTTTGAAGCTTCAGGTAATTGATAGACCCAATGCAAAAAAAAGGAAAAATGGAAATGGAAAATTTAGCTATAAGGAAAAATAATGAAAAGCACAGAACAGAACTGAAAATAAAAAGAAAAGAAGCATATTAAAGCTCAACCTCAGCAATTACTGAGGTTTACCAGCTAGGGTAAATCACTGCCAATTTACACTGGGTGTGGAGGAAAGGCTTGCAAAGAAACCAAAATAGGTGCAATTTCTTAGCGCCACCAGTGTAAAGCTAGCACAGGTGGCACTAAGGAGAAATCATAGTGGTTTATGCTGACTGGAGAGGAAAGAATTGCAATGGAAGCAAAAGTGACCGAATTACTACTACTTGGTGGTGTCATGTGGCCCAGCAAAGGTGTGGCCTTCTCTCTAGCCCCAGTTCTTGAACTTGTCAAAAGGTAAATTAGTAAAAGGTGAAAGATTTATACGATTTGAAGAGAAACCAGAGTGGAGCTGTGCTCACTGGCCTGTGCCTCTCTTGTTCACCGTTTCTACAGAAAGACACACACACACACACACCGATGACCATGATATCAACGATCCCACACGTTGTACCGCTGTGCCACTGGTCATGCCTCCACTTAAGCCCAATCAAGCTTTTGAAGCGCATGGGCTAAAATAAGCCCTCCCCCCCAAAATAAGCCCTCCAAAATATTGCAACACAGCAGAAGCCATGAGGTGACCACGCTCGCCTCCTGCTGCACCTCAAAAATAATAAGACCTCTCTGAAAATAAGGACAAGCGCTTATTTCTGGGGTCAAAATAAAATAGGACCCTGTCTTATTTTTGGGAAAACACAGTACATGGAACCCAGTAAGTTGGCAAAGCAGGCCCAATGGCTCTGAAGGTCTGGCTCAGCATGATGGAAGGGTGTGTTAGAGCATCCCTGTGGTCGGTCATAAGGGCGAATGACGGGGGGTATTCAGATAAATACTTTATATGTGATTTTAGTATCTAGAGCAGTGTTTCTCAACCTTGGCAACTTGAAGATGTCTGGACTTCAACTCCCAGAATTCTGGGAGTTGAAGTCCAGACATCTTCAAGTTGCCAAGGTTGAGCAAGTTGCCAAAGTTGAGAAACACTGATCTAGAGGAAATTTTGCTTTGATGTGGATGCCGGTTTGTTCATAGTATTTATAACTTAGCATCTGTTTTAGCAGAATCTGAGCA